CTAGATTTGTCTTTAGTTGCTTAGGATGATGATGAGAAGATAGATGATGATGATGGTAGTGATGGTGGTGGTGATGATTTTGGAGATGATTCGACCTCTACTATTCCATTTGAGGGAGATGATGATAATTGATTTATTTTCTTTCTCCTACTCATGCTTTCATGCATCATGTTTTATTAAGTGGACATTGTAATTATATTTTGATATTGATTTTTTTGCTGTGTAATGAAATGTTTCATCTTAATAGTTGTTTCTCTTTATTCTTCTCTATAAATGCTTACTTTGTCAATTTGTTCCAAAAATGGGGAGAACAATGGATAATTATTTCAAGAGGAGTTTTTATAAATTGTTTTTATTAAATTTTCACTAGTAGTTTTCCTTGATCTATGTATAAGAAATCATGTAAAATTTTATCCAATAAGCGAAGAAAACGGAGAATAAAAAAAATAAAATTCCATGTCCTTGACAAATTGTAATATATTGTTTCTGCTTGGGTAGATTATATTTGTTTTTAGGGTTTTGTCACGAAATTGCCAAAGGGGGAAATTGTGAGATATACTTTTTGTAATTGGTTAATTTCGGTGTCAAAATAAGTCCATCGAGTTGTAATTTTCAAGTTACCAAATCAAAATCGAGATCGGCTACGGAATTGGAAAGTTACTCAAGTTTGATAAACTAAGATCTACGAAAAATGTATGAACAGCACTTTAAGAAGTTGTTTCCCACTTAGGACACTATATGTAATGACCCAAACCCGGAGGTTCGGATCGCTAACCGGGTCCTATTCCAACTTTGAGACACCGGTAAAATGGTTATTTTAAAATAATTGAGAGGAGTGTGTTGACTCTGAATGAGTCAAAAGATATCCATTTAGTTTAGCACAACTATATAAACTCATTTCATATGGTTCAAGATGCAAGAACACTATTTTCACGTGATTAGCCCTTTCCAGTTTAGATGATTCTTGGAGTAGTTCACACTAAAATGGTTATAACTTCCTCTACATTTGGAATTTTGGAATGAAATTGATATCATTGGAAAGCTGACTCAAAATCCTTAAGTTTAGACTCAAATTTGACCCAATTTGGTTAAGAAATGAGGGAGATATGGTTGTTTGAAATTGGGCTAGGACTGTAGTGACTGAAAATTACATTTAACAAAAAAGGGAGGATCAGCCAACCGACAGTGAGGGTCAGCCAGCCAAAATGATGCACCAGCATAGCCAACTCTTTGTTTTAGCGCTCAATCAGCTAGTGGGCCTTGCCAGCCGGCTAACAGAGCCTAGAAGTGACAAAAATGGCCCAGAAATGTATTTTTTAACCCTGTTTAAATACCCAAACAACTTGGTATCCCAATGGCTTCACTTGTGACCTTGAATATAGTTAAAACTTGTCGCAAAACACCCATAAACATATATACATTGATAAAATAACATTTGTACATCAAGGCAAAATCATATTACATCATTATATATCGAGATAAATTCATTTACATTGACTTTGAATACATGAGACAACAAAACATAAACTTCCTAATTTCGTATAATCTAGTGTAAGCGTGGCATCCTCTTCATCACTCCGAGTGCTGAAAATGTTTAAAGTAAAAGGGTGAGCACAACCGCTCAGTAGAAGGTGCCTAAGGCAACAACTTTGGACTCTCTTGAGCCAAACGACACATAATGGGATAAAATAAAACCAGGATCATACTTGGGGATTTCTTAACATTTAATTTACAAATCAATCACAATATCGGCAATTTGGCAGTTCAATACAAACATGCATAAAATGCAATGCAATGCCCCATATTTTCCAACCTTGGTCTCAACCGACCCTTTCTTGGCCTCTACCGGCCCTAAATTTGGTCTCTACCGATCCCAACTCACATTTGAAAACCGTTAACCAACTTTACCGAGGCGAGATTGACAATTATCCCTGATTCCAAATCTGGCAACCATTTGGGGCATAGTTTCAACTTTTTCACGTCCTAAACCGGCACGCGCTCCCTCTAGGTCGAATTAACATCAGACTCGCGAAATCCGGTTCCTTTTTATAAAATCTTTTCAAAACCCTTTTCCTTATTCTCCCTTTCCCACCATGTCATACACATGCCTCAATTTTAACATGTATCTTCATTTTCATCAACACGGCAATAATAGAATAACCATAGCGTTTTCTACAACATGATCATAACATGGCATTTACTAGAAAATGAACATAAGTATATCATTGTTTATACATCAACTTCAAGCATACTTATCATAGACTTCATATCATCACAATCATGTTATTTTCACACATAGTAATTACTTTTACATATAAGTAGCAATACAAGCTCATGTAGCATGAATTAATATTTTTTCATCACAACTAGCATGCTTAGAACACCTTGTCACATAATTATCAACTTAATCATATACTTGTCATTCAATAATGAAATTCAAGATAAATCATATAACAATACTCAAATAAAGGCAAAGTATGAAACATTAGACACCCCTTACCTCAAAAGCATGCAACCAAACAAGCCCTTAAGCCTAGCCCAAAATCAAAGTCCTCTAAACCCATGCATGAATGGTGCCAAATGGAAGCTCTCTCCAAACTCGTCAACTTTTCCTTTTTGGCCTTCTCTTAAATCCCACTCTAAACCCCTCAATTTCTAACTTGAAACATTATGTATATATGTATATAAGTGTTGATACAGAAAGAGAATGAGAAAGGTAAATAGAGAAAGGGTAAATGCCGAATAAAGAGGAAAAGGGAATGGGTTTTGTCTTGCAAACCTATGAATGGCTCTCATTAAGCCACTTGTCAACACTTGTGTGGATTCCACTTTTTGGTGAGATTACTCTTTAGCCCTTGCTCTTTCATTATAACTCCTTCTATGTCCTACTAAATATCTCCCCCAATATATACTTACATATATATGCATGTGTGTATGTAATGCCAATAACGCCACTCACTTAAAATGAGAAAACCGAGAAAAGTTCCTAAGCCTAGTAATCATCCCGACTTCCGAAAAATTCTAAAAATGATCATGTCAACTCTAATTGACATAAAATAATTAAAAATACATTTCTAAAACTCTTGGCTCGAAAAATAACCGAAAAATAAGGTACGAAAAATAAATAAAATAAAAATTCAAAAAAATTCGGAACATTACACTATACATACATGGTATGTTTTTCGAAGTTACCAAAACAGGGATTTTTCCAAGTTTCAAACCTTCCATCAGAAATTTGTCCTTTGGGAACCAGTACTAAACTTGGCTATCGGCTCAGGAACCTTAACTTCGAAGAAAGTTTTCTGTCCTTTGGGAACCGGTTCCAAAGTTGGCTACCGGTTCCACTTGCTGATACAGTTTAGAATTCTAATTTCATGTTCTTTCTAAACTTCCTATTTGATATATACTTCTTTCCAAAAGCCTTATGCATGAAATTTAACTCCTATGCATATCTAATTCTTTGAAAGTTTGTATAAACCTTGATTTACATCTAGGTTAGTACGGCTTTTACATTACAACTTCTAATTTATTATGCAAAAAAATCAAATCGATTTTTTTGTCTTTATTTCTAGAACACACACACACGTAAACACAAGAATGATTTTAGGGTGTTATTCAAATCCTGATCATGTTCAAAGTTTATTGAATATTACATTTACAACGATCAGACAAGCAGATCTATTTCTTCTACATCAAATTCAGATCTTAAAGAACAGGAGTGAAGTGATCACACTTTGAAATGGTCAAAACATTCGAGGAGTATTGTTTGATTTATCCGATCAAAAGTAAGCCTGAAGTCAAGAGCTGTTGGACAGGACGTCGCAAAACCAGAGGATTGTCGTTTGAGCCTGAATCAAAATCCATTGTACTTTGTTTCAAACATAGTAGATCGGTTTACTTTTGACTACACAGTCCACAAAGTTTTTTCCACAACAATTGATCTATTCTACCAATTGGGATTTCCTCGCTAAAATTTCTGGTGTCATTTCTCAATCTCTATTTGTTTTATTTACTTTTATTGTACATATGATTAATTGTTAAATTAAGTAAAACTAATTAAATAAAAAAACACAAATTTTAATCTTTTCCTTAAAAACTTAAACTTTCCACATTATCTTCCTCTGCATAAACTCACAATATATAATAAAATACATATCAAGCAAGTTGCTCAATCCAGTGTGAATATATAGATGTGTATATATATATATATATATTAAACAGAAAAAAATTTGCATGGAAGTTTTTCTTGCTAAGCTGTTGGCAAGCGTCTTTGTTGTTAAAGCAGCTCATACGGAGACAGCTCAGAATCCATACCATGTCGAATTAATTCAGTTCTCGAACGCGGCTTTGGTGCATGAATTGAAAGCACTTTCAGATCTGAAGTGAAGAAACAAACTGATTCTCCACCGCCTCATGAGACTCTCTTGCTCAAGGAGATACAAGAGCAACAGAGTCTGATGAAGAGGTGTGAAATCACTATGAACCAAATGCAGAGTTAAATCGTAGCAGAACAATCTGAAATTCTCTCTCCAAACAGAGATTTTTATGTTATATTTGGGGAAAACAAGCTTTGATTCCGAATAACACGTTTAGAAGAGACCAATTTCTGGTGGGTCGTTTTGGGTTCTTGATTGTATAGTTTCCATCTGAATTGAAGCTTCAAAATTTCATCACTGTTTTGCATTACACGGTGAGATCTATTCGGACGTCTGGGTATTATGATCTAAAAACATGAGTTCGTTAATTGGGACGTAAATAATACGGCAAGTGCCATTGAGCCTCCACTTTTCTTTAAAGTCTCCCATGAAGGACAACTCACCCACCATTCGTAAGTAAAGGGAGAAAAAAGTAGTTTAATAATTATTTGTACCACTGGCCACGGAAAACTCAAGCATATATGTTAAGTGGGTTTGGGCATAGCAATGGATAGTTTGGGAACAACTAAGATGACATTGAAGGAACTGCTTTACAAAAATAATAAGTTGGAGCGCTAGAGTAGATTTTTGGAACGGGAATATCAAGTTATACCAACGTCGAGGCTCTTGTAATTGGAAGTTCGTTCTACATTCTGCTTTAGGAGGGGAGAGGTTGTTCCCACCATAATGTCAGAATTATAAATTATTGAATTATGTATACAGAAAATGCTGATTATTGTCATTAAGATATATGAAATAACAAGCATGAAATTTCTAATCGAAGGGGTCAATTCTTGGGTCGTGCTCGCTTGCCATTGCCATCCCTGTACAGAGGCATGTAGGGCACATAACCTGGAAAATGTAAGGGTGTTTCACATGTCAAGAAACTAATTCATCAAACTGAACATTTCCAGATCAAAAGATGGGAACTCACATGCATCATATTTATAAGAGATCTTTTAGAAAATTCAAAATAAAAAACAAAATGACATCGAATGTTACCACGCACAATTGTTTGTAGAACTTTCAGAGGAACTAGTGCTATTTACCATTACAATACTAGATACCAATCATTTTTTTTTTTTTTTTAATAAGTAAGAAATGTATAGAACTCAAAAGGGAAACGCATCCCAAGAGAACAACACAAGGCCAAAAACAGGCATTTAAGCCTTCAAAAAGGCTAAGAAAACAACATCCTCCTCTAAAGATCTAAAATCTCTACCAAAAACCCAACAAAAAGAAGTGGAAATAATAGAGAACTTAAGAAAAGAAATAGGCCTCTCCTTGCCATCAAAATTAGAACATCCTCAAATTAGAATCTTTTATTGATCAAACTCCGACCCAGCACCAAGGGCTTCTTAACCAATTTTATTAGTTCAATTTCCTAACAAAACCACCATCTTGTCAAATAATTTTTAACCAAGAAAGTCTTCCACATTGGCTAACCACATATATATATGAAACATATACCTAGCAGTCAATGGCAGGAAGTAGAAAATTGTTCCAGTATGATATGACAAGCAAAATTTATATATAGATTTCAAAGTTTTTTGGTTACTAACCTTTCCCGATCCGGAGCAGTTTGAACACCTCTCTGTTTTAGGTGATGATAGAGGCTGATCTCCACCATTAACTGTTGCTACTGGTTCAATAAGAACAAGTGCTCCTGTGCTTGAACAGCGAGCACAAGCAAGATATCCTGCATCAATCAGCTAATAAGTAAATACCCCACTGAACCCACTTGGCCAAAACTATGCTAGTCAACCATTAATTAATCATTTTTACATATGTGGTCAAATAAAATAAAATAAAAAATACATAATGATCAGAAAAGCATAATTAGGCAATGTTTAATACTTGGATTACAGGAAAAATTTGAAAGGGGGACATTCTCTATCTTGAGGAGAAAAGGACAGCAGGAAAACCAAAAGGTAGATTTTAAGAGAACATTCAGTTGGCAGTAAGATGAGAGAAAAGTAGGAAACGCTTTTAAACAACCATTCCAACTCCAAATGATTCTATGACTACAAAATATCTCCTCTCCATATTCTCAGCAATGAAATGAACCATAAAGGTCCATTCAAAAAATTTCACAGGGAAAAGTGGAACAGAGATTTCTACTGGAGCTATAGTCAAAATTTTCTACAAGGATACTGGACCAATCAAGCAGGGACAGAATTGAGAAATCTAGCTGGTGTAGTCGCAATGATTGAATAAACCAGAGCAATCATCTAAATTTTTTGTTTCTTCCAATACTAATAATTATAAACAAAAGCAACCATTTCAGATGAAGCATTAAAAGCTACAGTGAGAAATGAAAAACTGGGAATCAGAAAATAGAATGCATTTCAAAATACATACCAGTCCCAAGACAATATTTGCATCTTTTATGCTCCTGCAGCTTTACATTGTTTATTTCAACTACCATCAAGGCTGAAATCACCCCAACCACTCCTCCAGAAAATGATGCCACTATAGGATCGACCTCACTGTATTGTTCAATAAAAGACTCAAGCAATTCAACAACAGGTTTGTCATCATTTAGATGGTTTGCATTGAAGATGCTAGCTACAATACAGTAAAGCCTCTAGAAACAACGATTGAATCATGCCTTCATCCAAGTTAGAAGGATCATGGCTAATAAGTGGCAGAGCTAGCACCTCATTGTGTTACCCAGCCATTGGACCGACAGAAATAAACAATTTATATCATAGAAGTTACATTAGAGATTTCACGTTTATAAGTCTGAAACTTCCTGAGCCCCAAAAACTTCATCCATACTCATGTTGTTGTTTATCATCGTAAGGACAAACCAAAATGTATAGAACTTTGATTCTGGACTTTTTATCTATATAATTATCACGTCCTTACCCAGTCCCTCAAATCATAGAGAATGAAAAGAACAAGGTAAGGGACATTCAGGAAATTAAGTCTTGATTCCAAGGCAGACCCTGGACAAAATGTCAAAACGCACCAAATGTAAAGTGGGAAACACTCGATGTTTTTTGGTGCTGCATCTTCAAGATATCATTTGGCACCGAAACACGTGTAGAATATATTCCACAGAGAACTCTTAAATCTTCATCAAAGAAAGTAGCAAGTATCACTATTTCTTTCCCCAACATACAAGCAGTCTGATATGCTCGTCCACAGATAAGTTATCTCCCACAACCATCGGGACGAAAATATCTCAAATAAAATTGTTTAGAAAGAAGACATGCGCGTATCATTGCAATGACATGTGTGTGTGCGTGTGTATTTATGCACAAGGATAACTCTGAGCATTTGTATAAGTAGGAGGGAAAGGAGAGAGAACCTTTCTTTGTGTTTGGATAAGTAAGGATGAAAGGGTTCTAGGACAACAGTGGAAAGGGGGGAAAAAGTAGAAATGATATGTTTTAGTTTGTCAGTAGGGGCAAAGCAGGAATTAACTTGTTATAAAAGAATGTGCAAAGCAGTTAATCACTAATTCTCACATCACTTCCTCTGAAATACTCCCACTTTTGGGAGGAGAGTGTAAATACAATGCAAGGGGTTAGGCTGTTTGTCCTCTCTGCTACTCATCACCTTTCCCGCCCACCATCCGAACATAGTGTTAAACAAGGATGGAACTTCAGTTCAACATAAGTAGAAAGATATGAGTGTACCATGCCATCAAAAAACTTAAGTTTCTCAAAATTAAATAAGGTAAAGAAGCTAACCATGGATAAACTTCCATTCGCATTAGAAACACAAGTACTTTTTAGTTAAAGGGCGAATTTGTGATCTGAATCCCATTCACAGATGAATTTAGATTACATTGCCTTCACTGACATAAGTCATAGATGATCTTTTATGGAATCTCTTTATATTGCTCCAAATGAGCAAAACAACAACCACCATGTGATGATTTATAGTGCAGCGAAGGACATGATAACTATCTTCCTCATAGTTTTTTGGAGAAATTGTTACCTAACCAACCAGGTAGTCTAATCCAATGCAGATTCCATAGAGCCATTTCAAATTCATCAATGGGAACAAGAAATTGTCAAGATCAGAACAAGCAAATCTTTAAAATTTTAGTACAAAAAATAATTAGACTCCATATGTTCATACATCAACTGCAATGGCAGATGCATGTTACGGATAAAGTCTTCATACGATGTGCCTCCCAGTCCCAACTTAATCTCTAACTGATATAAACAACGATTAGGGAAAATTTGTAATAGGAAGTAAATAAGTTAATGTCTCTGCATAAAGAATAATACATTCGATCAACAGATAAAGAATGCCACATATGAAGAGCACTACTCAGTCAATTTCTCTTTTACAGCATGACTTCTTTCCAGATGAGAAGTTCATAGAATATTTCTTTCTATGTTTATAAAAATATTCAAATTATATGCTATCACAGGAAAGTTTTTAGTTGGTGCAATCTAATTCTGCTTCAAATTGATCATGAACAAGACTATCAATGAGCAAATCAACAATTTAAACTTGGCAAATAAAGCATACTATATAAACATATTTTTTCCTAGTTGATACATTCCCCCCCTTCAAGGAATTGTTTGCACCCAAGAGGAGTCAAACCTCAGGCCTGATGCTTCCTAAGGCACCACCAACTTTTTGGGTTTCCTATAGAACCATATTTCATTATATGCAGTAGCGAGTGAGTCTCATTCAATTACAACACCAAAGATCATCAACACTATAATATATGGAGGAGAAGAAGAAGAAGAAGAAAGTAAATGTTCTCAACTTATTCACAAATCTATTTCCCTGATTCAAATTGCAATTCACAAGTTGAAGAAAACTTACAGTAGGCGCTACAAGACCACCAAAAAGGATAATCCCAGCAATGAGAGAAAAACAAGTGGCATAATATTGCTTAAGATTAGCAGAACACTGCATGAAACATGTTGCTTAGTCACCACTTATAGAATCTCTCAATAGCGGGGAAAAAAGAATTCCTGGATTAGTTAATCTATAGAGAAAGATGAATAAAATAAAATGGTTGGATTAAATAACAGATTATGAGATTAAGAAGTTGTTGTAAGAGTATTTTAGTAGATTGTAACAAATCTTACCAGCGGAGGCAAAAAAGGAATAAATGATGGGAAGTTAGGAAGTTCATTTTCTTGCTCTTCCGTCAATATTCCAAGTTCAGCACTTCTGATTCTTTGTTGTATCCTCAGCCTGCGAACCTACAAAAAATTTCACGATACAAGTATCAGATGCAAATATAGTAAAATGATTCGCAAATGATGCCATCTCATACTTGCTTTGAAATTTGAAAGCATGACTTGTGGGAGTTAAACATTACATAAGTCATATTGACAATTTTAATAAGCCGAGGTATCAAAACTGTGCCCTAAAAAATTGCATTTCTTGATCTAGGATCATGAAAGAGGGGGGAAATCAAGGGAAGTGCACCCAGGGTTCTTGAGCCATATAATTTGAGGAATGTAATTCTATATCATTCCATAGCAGTTCTTTTTAGCAACGATGCTATAAATACCATGAAGCTCCATTTGGAGTCAAGCTCCCAGTTAACCCTCCTTACTAGTTATCCAGAAGGTAAGGGCGGGCATGCGGATACAGCAATCTTGATTTTTCTCGATGACTTTTTCTTGGGTAGCTCAAGCCTCAATGGCCACATCAAACTTTCCACTTCCTAATGGAAAAGATATATGAGACTTAGCGAAAGAGGATAAAAATATATATAGATGAGAATGAGAATCTGCTTTTGACCTTGCGCTATATTCTTATTTCCTCAATAACATCATTTGCTGCATGGGACAACTAGAATCAACTGAAATATAAATGGAAAGTAGATGTGTGGTGATTAACTGTTTAGCTTTTTTCAATCAAGTCTTATATTTGCTTTTGGAATTTCCATTAGAGTCAGTTCGAAACCTTTTTTTTTTTTTTTCAAATAATCTCTGGTTCAATTGGTACTTGCAGTTACTCGTAAATTGTGGGTTAGTAACCTAATACTTGTTCAAAGACACATAAAGGATAAAAGGTTTTTGATCTAAGTGACAACGGTGCTAGGATAAATACTATCTTAAACAAAGTATTACCTTCAAAACTCACCTCCTCCATATGCAAAAAGATCTTGTTTCGGCGACTTCGAACATTATCTTGAATTTCTAGCAGTTCCATTTTAGCAAAATCCTGAACAGTTTCAGGTCCTTCAATGATACAGAATCTGCACCACAAAGCATGAATCAGTCTTTTATTAGACCATCTTCTTTATTTTAGTCATTAGTGAGGTTGTTTAGTTGCCGTTTATCACATATACAATCATACAAGTAGGATCACTATAACCTTGCATTAAGTGCGCAAAAAAATCTAGTTTGTTCCCAGGATTCCCAAACAAGTTTGTAACAGATACAAATTGGCCGCATTATTGTCTTGCAAACATTTCCATTAATCCTTTTCTTCTTAATCAGTTAATCATTACAAACTTTTGGTTTAAAAATATTGCACACGAGCCATGAGATTGACTGGGAAAAAAAACCACACACATTAAGAAATGTAAATAGTTAAAGTTCCAAACATTCCTCATTAAATTCATGATATCCAAATACGAAGATGCTACGCACTGCCTTCAATGAGATATGCCGAATCACAAACCTCTGCATTAACAATTCCCCACGATTGGTGAATTTCACCTCTTTCAAAGGTGAATTTCACTAGTACACACAAATTTCACCATTATAGCAGTGAAATTCACCAACTGCACAAAACTGCGAGAAATCATTATCCCAGAGGATTCAGATTCAGCACCCCCAATTCAATTATTACTCATTTTTCTTAATCAACGTAGGTATACCTCATAACCGGATTGATTTACATGTTTATAGTCATAAATTCAGTATATAAAGATCAAAATTAAATGCATAATTCACAAAGAACCTTCTATTATAAATTTGATAATCCGCAATTTAGCCACGAACAAGTTAGGAAACATAGATTGTCTTTGGAAATGAATTCAATATAATTGATCATTCGTGGTAACCAAACAACCAGAAACCACAAAATATGCAAGCTGATAATTCAAAACAGAAACGAATAGCAAAGAAACACTAAGAGTTTTGCTTAATATATGAAAGGGTATACATGAATAGAGCTGGTGATTAGAGAATACCCAGTAGCACTTTGATCAGTTGAATCAGAATCAATGGAAGACGCAAAAGAGGAAGCATCGGGCTCCGACGCCATGGGTCGCCATTTCAGGCCCGATTCGAGCTTTTTTTGAAGAACTCTAGAGTTAGAGGGTGTGTAATTGTGACGAAACAAAGGCGTTACGGGGTACGAACCTGCCAAAAGTCGACCCGAACAAAGCATCGCTAAATTCCCTCTCTTCTCTCTTAATCTGAGATCATAGCTCTCCCTCTCACCAAAGGTGTGCTCTTTCTCTCACTACAAACGCCAGGATATGAAAACGAGATGGTATCGTGTTTCGGTGCAGTGAGAGTTCGAACTTTTGTTGTTTTCTGTAAAAGGGTTGGGAGAAGAAGGTGGTTGTGCGTGGTGGTGTTTTTAAATGTGATGGTGATTTTAATGTAATGGAATTTTGAGTGGGGTCAATTTGGTTTTGACGCCAACGCACAACGGAAAATACAATAAATTTGTTCTGATGGGTCTTAGGCCAATGGCTTTTAGTCTAGCCGGTAAGATGCCTCATGTTGGCATTCTTGGAGTGCATAGGTTCGAATCTTGACACCAACTAAAACATTTCTATTTTTATTGCTAAGTTCCCTGTAAAGATATACAAGAGCAGACAATAATTTTAGATGAAATAATAAAAGAATTTTAAATTGAAATTTTGTGGTTCATGATGTTTTTCAGTAATATTCTGCTCTTGTATATCTTTACAGGGAACTTAGCAATAAAAATAGAAATGTTTTACAATTGAAAGTATTAAAAATAAGTCCCAACTATAATCGATTATAAGAGTAAATTTAATAAAGATTCGAACATTAATCATTCCAATTTCTAAAATCAAAATCAAACAATAACTTCAAATAATCAGTTTTTGTTATCTATGATCATGCTCTCGCTCCCGTTTTATGTAACTTAGGAGATGCTCATAAGTTAAAAGAAAAATTATATATGACTGAAAAATAAAATAAAAAATCATTGTGATATTCATTGGTGAGAAATTTAGAAAAAGTAGACTTGGTTTTGAACTTTTGACACTTACATCGAAAACCTAATGACCCAATAGTAGAAAGATTAATTGTAATCCAGAGTAGAAGATAATAGAAGTGAGAAAGGCCAAACGATAACATGGGACGAGAATCTGAGATTACTAAAATTGTGAAAATGTCATGTAAGACAACTTTTGTAACCTATCCATATAGTTGGGATTAAGGTAAAAGATGAATAATAATTTAACATTCAATTTTATCATAAGAAACCAACACTTTCATCCAAACACTATATTTAAATATGTGACAGCCCTGATTTTTCAAGTCAGTGCGTCCTGTGATGAACCAAAGTTTGAACGGATCCGAATGCAGAAGCGAAAACAGAAAACAAGTCTCTGGAGATGTAATGCATCTCTAAGACGCCAAAGTGACTTTCTATGAAGCCATAGATCTCAACGAGAACAAATGCGGAACCGAAAGATCAAAAAAAGACCGAACAAGCCCCCAAGGGCAAAATAGTATTTTTACATAGAAACCACGTCTCTAGAATTGTAAATCATCCCTAAAACACAAGCGTGACTTCCCATGAAGTCACGGAACTTGAAAGAAAGCAAAGCGAAAGCGAATTAAAAAAAAAGTTTAGCCCCAAGAACAAAATGATAATTTTTAGCAAGATCTGGGTGCTACCGAGCACACCATTGGAAAGACAACGAAAAATTAATCAAATTAGACTCAAAAATTGCTAGATTCGGAGTCCGAATGGAAGAGAAAATTCAAAACAAAGTTTTAACGTCACCACGGTCGTGAATAGTGTTTTAACAACAATGAACACTGTTTTGACAGCAGTAAATAGTGACCTGGGCAAAATGCTGAAATTCGTGCGCCGTTTTGAGGCACTAAACGACATTTTTTGGAAAAACACGAACAAGAAATCTCCTTTAAAATAATTTTTTCCAAGCTGACCATATCGAAAGAAAATTTTATTTTTGACGTGAAATCCCTAAAATGCCCTTATAACAAACTTTTTCAAAAAATGCATATGTACATAGAAAATCATATTTGACGCGGGTTTTCGAGACCAAGACGACATTTTCTGAAAAAATGTTGTGAAGAACCCCCCCTAAAATCACGTTTTTTACCCGACTATGTCGAAAGAAAAAATAAAATGTGTTATGAAATGCCCAGAATACCCATGGAACAGTCTAGGCCAAAAATGAATAAAAATACAATTGCACCAAGTGCTCATTTGACCCTAAATGCATTTCTGGGCAAAAACGATAATGTACGCAAACGTATTTAGTGTTTTTAAGCGCGCAGGAATGGTCCGCGGCTCCCAAAAATGGCCGATGCAAAATACGACTTATCCGAACCTCAAAATGCCTAAAAGTGGACTTTTAAAAAAATATGAAACTTGAAATTTCAAAATGAGTTCAAAAGACCGTTTTACCCTTGACCACACTTCAAAAATAATTGAAGAGACCCTGTGGAAGTGCAAAAATTCAGTTCCCACCACCTATGCAAATGTAGTGATGCTAATGCGTGTCATTTTTCTATTTTTCAACAAAATAGCCTTGAAAGTAAAAGTACTTAGGATACAAAATAATTGTCCGTGACCTATGGCCTCATCTCATACATGTCAAATATATCATAAAATGTATACTTATGTACACGTTACATATTTAGAACCAAATATACAAGTTTTGAAATTTTTAATCAAAAATAACTTTTCATGCTAACATTTGCATGAAATAAATACTTCAAGTCTACAAAAAACATTCATGGGATATTGTGCATCCCGAAACTACGTCTTCTTGCTTGAAATAGGTCACATTCAGCGAGGAGTGAGTAAACTATATTACTCGTAGGAAATGAGCATGCAAAGACCTAAATTTTTACAAGTTTATCACATTAATATGAAATAATTCAAAAGGTCATACCACCTAACGTCTACGTCAAAAGTGAGACTTATGGATTATCCTAAGCTACTTTAAAACATTTCTAGCATAAAACCACAATACCTATGTAATTAAATAATATAAAAGCATACTATACAACGCAACAAGATATAAATTCTCAAAGTCATCAACTTGAAGTCTAAAATACGAAGTCAACTAAAGTGGTTCATGCCACCTAACATATATGTTACAAAATGAACTAAGGAATCATCTCAACTACTTAAATGGTTTAAATGAAATACTAAAATACACAAGTCTCTAAAACAATTTTAGAACTTTGAAAACAAAAATCACAAGTCATAATTAAGCATTGGTTGCAAACTTGTAATTAAACGAGAAATCAAATAACGGAATATCTTGGACATCAAATCCCAGAATAGAACCAAGACGTGGCAGTTGATCGGGTTACTAACCCACGGGAACAACCCAAGTTCACACTAGACGTAAACAGTTATTTCGGGCCACTAACCCACGAGAATAACCTAAGTGCATACTAACTATATTTGTAGAGGGAACTCTCATCCCCTGTACTAGGACCTTGCCCTGGCCATGTCAAATTGTGTGATGTCGCAAGTGTTTCCAAAATAAGTTCAAAACTTATACAAAATTAAATAATGCATAAAAACCGCCATCCACGCACAAGTAGAGATGAATTCACATAAGTCATGTCCTAAAGTTTCAAGTCTACAATGACATTTAAAATGTCGAATTTTCAATGTGCGATTCGTTACACGCTATACCACTATTGTTCTAATATCGAAAACATAATCTTGTGAATATACACATCTAAAATCATAATTTAAACATTCAATCAACGTCAAATACATGATTAAGTCGCTAAAGCAATAGAATCGAAAATTAATTACATAATCTAATTAATTTCCCTAGATTTCAATCTCATCCAAATAATCTGTAATTAACACATGTTAAACAATATAACATGATCATTACATATATCAACTTAAAAACTTAATTGGGTCATTGGGACAATTAAATAGATTTTAATTTCTAGATTCTAAAACTCATCCAAATACTCTCAAATTAAGCTATATTAAGGAACATGTCAATGCTTAATTTAACATCACATTATAAGTTACTTCCATGCAAGATACAACAATGAGAATTAAACTTTCATTCAAGATAATAATTAAATAAAAGTTTCAAAACCTATTCAAATATTCTCAATTTAATATTTATGAAAGAACATAGCATACTCATCAATAATATCAAATTAAAAATTCAATTTAATTAATTTTCTCTATATTTTAAAACAACTCCAAATATTCTTAAATTCACATATGTTAAGGAACATACTAAGACCTAATTTAATATCACATTAAAAGTTAATTCCATGCTAGTTACAACCATTTTAATTAAATTTTCATTCAAGAAAATAATTAAATAAAAATTTCAATACATATTCAAATACTCCCAATTTAATATATGTTAATGAACATATCAAGGCCTAATTTAATAGTATGTCATAATTTAATTCCAAGTTATATACAACCATGTGAATTAAATCTTATGCAAAGAAAATAATTAAATTAAATTCTAGATAAAATACATAGGCATGCATACAAGTTGTATAAGCTTATAAAACAATCAATACAACAATTATATAAGCCTAAGACATCCCCTACCTCACTTTGAGATGAAATCTCAAATCCCCACCGAAAGGAAACCGCTCCAAATCCGACGATACTTCTAGGTTTTGTCGGGGATTACGAAGGAAGCAACTTTAACCTTTGAGACACCATGAAAATCTACACCTGAACTCAAAAATGATTGGAATCGGCTTCTAATAAGAGGGAAAGGATCACCTCGCCAAAGCCTACGATAAACGCTAAGATACTACGGCAAAAATCATAAGGGCAGAAGGTGAAAAAAGAATAAACAAGGTGGCAGCCTAAAGCTGCCATGGATGGCCAGCCAAGAAAGAGAGGAAGAAGCTAAAAAGTTGACTTTTTCTTATTTCACCCCCTATTTATAGAAAAACCCTAAAAGTGCCCCGAACGGCTCTCGCCAGGTCTGAAAAAGTGAAATTTGCGCAGACACACTCAAACGGCAAAACACCGTGAAAGAAAAAGAACCAAAACGAGAAAAAATAAATAACGAAAGAAACGGAGTCAAAACTGAGTCCCGTGTATGAAGATATGCCCCGAACAAATTCAGCGCAAACCGGGGCCGAAAATCCTAAAACTGGAAAAACATCCGGAAGGAAATTCTAAGAGTTCACGACTCGACGAAATGTGAAAATAAATCCCGTGCAAGGATCCAGACTCAAAATGAGGCATTTTGCAATAATTTTCATTAATTGCACAATGGCCCCTCCAAGAAAGGATAACTGCAAAACTGCTCAGAATGAAAATATCTTTCTAAAAACCCCTGAAATAAATATCTTCAAAAAATATTTACAAAAAAC